TGAGAGGGGTCTGCTGCGCATAACTGGAAGGAGTTGCAACTGTTATTGTACGTGGGAGTCGTTTCTATGTGGTGAGTTGGAACTAATGGGTGTGAAAAGTTTTTTTTCTGAGATTAATTGCAATTATGATCCTGGGGAATGTAGATAGGGTGTGAAGTGAGAAACCTAATATTACCATTCTTATTGATGGTTTTAAGCTTTACAGGGTGTTTGGAGTGATCAGTATACTGGTAGTTTTGTTAGTATGCATGTAAAAAGGCTTGTTACGCTGTAGCGCACTACCCTTTTTGCAACTTAAAGGTGTTGAAGGCAATTTATATGGTATTATCGGGGAGAACCTGTCCACTATTGTTGGGATACTTACTGAGCAGTTGGGTTCAACCTTATATGTTCCTCTGCTCGGTATCGTGAGTCTTGTCATCCCACACTTTTTAGTCAGAGCTGGAGTCTTTCGTTGTTGCTGTGAGATGAATTTAGGTTTATTCGAGTCAACCTGTGAAGTATCTTTAGGAGGACTAACTTTTAAGTGTATAGGTTTAGTTGGGTGCGTGTTGTCGCACGACTCACATCTTTGTACATTACTGAGCGAGCGGCTGGGACTAGACATTTCGTTATGTTTTTTGGTGACAGTTGGGGTCCGTATCTTATCTAAAGCTTTGTGGTCAGCAGACTCATCTAGATCAACAGATTGATCGACCGTTCGTGGAGTGATGTCATTCTTATTGTTGCAAACTGACTCTGGCTGGTTATTCACAGTAATACTACCATGCAATCCTGTCGCTTCTCGTGTTCTTACACAACATTGACAGGGCGTAAGGTCTGGAGTGAATTTGTACTTTTGTATGGAATGAGTGAGCTAATATTTTGCTCGAATCGATAAACTGTTTAACATCGTTACAACAGCCAAACATAAACAGGAGGGGGCAAGTAGATCTGTCTGACTTTTTTCTGCGGCGTTTGACTTTGCAGTTAACGTTCAGCATACCGCATGCTCTAAGGCAAATATCCCTCAACTTAGAAGGGTGTATGCGGTCGATCAGGTTATACGCAACTGCACTGATGGAGGAAATCACTATTTTCGTCACTTCTTCAGCCACAAACTCCAAAATACACTCAGCTTTAGTCAGTTGCTCAAGATTCCTATCAGTGTCAAAGTCCCATATGTGCGTGAGGGGTGCTAGTTGCTCAAGTCTGCCGTTTATTTCGGCTAGAGAGTTTTGTAGTTGACGAATGTCAGTACTATATCTATCACTATTTTCGTGTGTATGAGACGAACTATTGGACTTCATAGCTTTTGAAATTTTAGATTTAGGCCTTGGTAGAACGTACTGTCCAGTAGACTGTGCTGACGTTTCGATGCACGTGAGTATAGTGTCTTGTATGTCAGCCAGTCTTACCGATCGCATACTGCACGCAGAGATGAAGGAGCAGTAACATGGAGATTCAGATGATGTTGGTGACATTTGTGTACGATGCGCATATTGTTCATTTGTTAAAGGTTTGACATTGTCAGGTACTGTGTCGTCAGTCATAGAGGTTACAGATTTGGACCTTTTATTTGGCTTAGAAGTTGGTGAGATTTCTCTTTTACTGGAGTTATTGACCACGATTTAAAACTGGGTGTAGAGCTCGTTAAATCAAATATAACATAAGAGTATTAGTAGTTGTTATGTATTAACCTGGTTAGTACAAGGATCAAAGACTGTGAGTATATAATAAATTTTGGATCTATTTTAGACTTAAGTCCGAAATAGGCATAATATGAGCTGGTAAGCATCCGTCAAATTTTTTTATTTTTCAGGTAAAATGTACCCGATATACAAGATAGGATGATAGTCTCCGTATAATACACCCTACAAAATGAACAAGTCGAAGAATTTCAAGACCAGGTGAAAAACAGTTACCACTTTCAAATTTCGCGGAATCTTATTATTAGGGTAAACAAGTGTAATTAGCTGTCTTCTGCAAGGTTTGGAAAGTGACCATGGTATATTTTAAACCTTTTAAATCTTTAGTCCTCTCCTTTGTTTCCAATATCTGAAAAGAAATAGGGTAACGAATGTGTGAAAGTAAAGGCGGTTGAGATTATGCCATAGACTACTGTCATAAGTAAATTACGACATAATGGTAATATGAAGTTTCCCTCAGAAATGCTGTTTGACTAGTCTTCGCGATTTTAACAACCTTTCAATCATTTTTAAAAGCGATTATGGTCAATCCTCTTACTAGTATACGATAGTTAAAGGGATCAACAAATTTCACGTTTACTAAGAGACAAGTTGCTCTCTGTTAAGATTTCTTTTGCGGATATTTCATAGACATATTAACTGTTCTAGTAAATAATATCAAAACTTTGGTGTCTTGCAAAACAGAGCTGCTGAATCAATTAGATGCTGTTTTTTGGTTATTAAACTGTCGATGACGACAATATATATATATATATAACTTTTGGTAGACATTCGTTTGACTGGTTTGGAAACTTCGGCGTCGTACGATGCTTTCAAAAGTGAGTATTCATGAGTTTCCGGTTACTTGCAGTGACAACTGATTCGGCAGTCGGTAGCGGATGGTATCGTTGGTGAATTACATAAAGGTTAGAAGTATTCAAATCAAAATAATAATCTTCATGAATAGCAGAAATGTGGTTATCTACTTAAATCTACACAGATTTCTGAGCTGTTGTTACTCTTAAATACAAAAGGCATTGCAGTTAATCCCACATTAATTTTGTTAATCTACCTTAACTCCTACATGTTCTCTGTCTATATATCATTAATAATGGATTTATTCAATATCATATTTTGGTACGATACAGAATTCTCAGCACAAAGCGTTTCAACAAGTTTCACTTAAAAACAGGAACAAAGACAAAAAAGGAAAAAAGGGTTTAAAAAAAATTTGAAAAATTGTATAATTTTCCAAATGAGAGACATGTTAAGAATGCAGGTTATTAACTAGGTTAACTCTAACAACTTGTTTGTCACAGAGTATATTTGCTAGGTAAGATATTATAGAACTATTATACTTTTGCTTTCGTGCTTGGATTTTGATGTAATTTCGTCTTGTTCTACCAGAAGTTATACAAGTGGAAAGATATGAGTGGAAGGGATGGTTAGTATCTGTTAAAATAAACCATTTGCTACCTTCCAGTCTATCTAAGCTTAAGTTTTATAGTCTTTTTACTAAAGTACCTATGTGGACATTTGGAAATATGATAGTTTCTACTTCAACAGTTACACCACTCCTATCTAAACACTAACTCCAAAAGACACTGTTAGAATTCGGTTGGAGCAGTATACTTCAATGGCTAAATTGACCACATTATTCGAAACTATAGGCGTGAAACAAAACCTAGAAATCCAGAAACGGAATCTAGGAAAATAGCTATTACACACAAACCAAACAGAAATATTTTGAAAATTGAAAGCAACCTTGACGAGAACATATATAGGTAGCGACATCTGGCAAACTATCAGGTTGCTAGTTTTCAAATTCTTTGGTCTAGTGTTTGTGCATATCGTGTACCGGTTCGTTCTCTGGTTCAAAAGGTAAATATCCATTTCATTAACATTCATAATAACGGCCCTACTTGTTTACGAAGTTTGGAAAATTTTAAATATTTGTGTACTGATTCAGAGTAAAGAATTTCACTGTAAATGAAACTTGTAGACGACATTTATTTCTAAGCTAGTTCATATTCTTTATTACCTACGAATTTTCTTAAATAAATCTATCTTTATCGTCATAGCTCTCTTTAAAGAGATTGTTTTAGAATGTATGCCCTGAAAATGTCACTTTGTTGAAAATGAATTGATCAAAGTACCTTAATAAAAACACATCGATTTAATGTTACTTATACCTACTTCGTTTTATATCCTGATTTAGTGTCTACTCTGACATGTAGTTATTTTTTATCAGTTCTAATCAGTAGTCTAATATTCAATCTCTTAATCAAGAGATTGTATGAACCAATTGATTTCATTGTGCTTGTTTCTTGTTTCACTATGGCTCCAGGTATTCGATTATCAGTATACTTGCAAGATAAACAGGTGAGGCTATTGTTTGTGGACGAATCATGAGCGACGATAGTAACGTTGAGACAACCCACCTACTTACTAAGGTCAAAAGGGTCAGTTAATGAGTATAAGGAATGAGTATTGGAATTTAAGGGTAGGGAATTGAAACAAGGGTTTTCGTCTCAAACTGACATCAAGTATAATACTGAAGTGCTATTCAACTATATTGATGAATGAATTTCGTCCCAAAATGCAAGGCTTTCTGTCCTTAAATGCATTTGTTTGTCCATAAATTATAGTCTTGCCGATAAACTGTTCTGTAATCCATTCTTATCAAAATGTTAAGAGTGTTTATATTCAATTCAGTAGCATGACGTTCAGGTGTTTATTATTCGTAAGAATAAAGTTTAGAATGTATCGGTCTGAGAGCTGCACAGCTCATCCATGCAAGAGTCGGATAAACATAAATACCAGGACAAATATTTAACTGTGATGACATCTAGTTAATCGGATGAAGAGAAAAGAGCTAATGATACTGAGACAGTAAAAAATCAAAATTATCATATTTACGATAGAAATTGTGTTCCGTTGTTGTAAGCAGTCCACTGAGAACATCAATATTTCTTTGTCAATAAAAATATATTGATATGTCTTGAATGGTTCAAATGGTTGTAAATGGAATAGATGAAGCTTTCGCTTAACAGGCTTCCGTGTCTAGTAGCAGGGGGTCACCAATACCTCCAGACAAGAATCTAGGTATATTAACGATAAAAGAGAAAAAAGAAATTGGTAAATCATAGTAAAATACTATCCTAAGTCCTTAAGAATAGATCAAGTCTCCTCTTAAAAGGACTCCTGGAAAGTTGCTTTGACTAGCTCAGCTGGCAGCGAGTTCCAGCATTTGACAACTCTTAAGGAGTAGAAGTTGTGCCTGCACTATAAAAACAAAGTATTCCCGTTTTTATTTTTACAGGTTACAAACACATGGATGTATTACAATCCCTTACAAACTTCAGTGGAAAGCTTTATGGGGAAATAGTGGACGAAAACCAGAGTAAGTCAGTATTTCAATGTATGCTCATTGGTATGTTTAGGTCATTTTGAGAATACCTTTCTTTCTCCCTTTAATATATATACTGCCTTGGGAATGATCCTTTCTGGCAGTGAAATGAATACAAAAACGGAGATAATGAAAGTGATGCACTTATCTGCTTATTTGGAACATCACACAATTCACCATGGAATCAGTGGACTTCTGTTTGACTGTGCAGAACGTGGTGAAGGTGTTGAGATAATGTTTGGGAACGGATTGTTTACAGCAGAAGATGTGGATGTTAAAGAAGACTACCAAAATACTCTTAAGAGTTATTACAACGCACAAACAGAATCTGTGAGTTTATATCTTAAATTACTAGCCTTTTCTGTAGGTGACATTTCAGATGGATCCGGAAGGCGCTGGAAAACGAATAAACCACTGGGTTGGTGAACAGACCAGAGGAAAAATTCGTGAACTCTTTTCGTCTCAATCACTATCAACCGACACATCAGTTTTAGTAATAACCACTACATACTTCGAAGGTAATTTTGTATATTCAACCCACGATACTTATAAATGCCCCCTTAAAATTTAAGTCTATCTTATTGTTATAGTTTATAATTTCTGTAATTATCAGTAATTCCATAAATAGTTTTTTCTTCCAGCTCTGTGGAATATACCTTTTCTTCAAGGAAGTTCACACGAAAGCGATTTCTATAAACTTGACGGATCAACAATGAACGTGAAGTTAATGTACATGAATTCCTCATTTGAAATCGTCAGTTTACCTCATTTGAATTCACGGGCTATTAAGATGCCATTTAAAGATCCTAAGTAAGCATGAGTATTTTGGAACATGTATATAACACCTATTTTTAATGAGTTTAAGGAAAAACGTCACAAGCCTGTTTGCAGTGATCTACATACTAGTAGCCCAATCACTGGTTTATTAGTTTTAACCATTCAAGGTGTGGTTTTTCCTAAATCACCGTAAATGACTGGGTATGACCATTAGATCTTTTGGCCGTAATTGCTGGGAAACTTTGTTTAGGTCTTTTGCTTATTTATTCCATTGCAACGCATGGCTTAATAATGAGCACAATCTCAACTACAATCTGGGTGGCTTAGCAAAAGCCTACAACAAATACAAATATTTTTCTAAAGTTAGTGACTGCTAATTTTTGTCATCTGAGGGATAAGAACTTTGTGTTTGTGATGTTTCTTTACATTTAAGGTCATTAATCAAAAGTTTAAACAACATAACTTAAAAGTAATCTCACTGTCCTATGTCTGTTAACGCGTAATTTATTTCTGCATTTTGAACACGTTACTGTATACTTTTTCAATCACAATGGACTGTTAAGCTCTCAACAACTAAATTCTCTACTTTAAAAAACAACATTCGTTTACAGAATCTGATCTCAGATTTTGTGTTAAGGTTTTTGTGAAACATGTATTCGCTCAAAATGTTTGCTGGAGATTAATTGAAAACTAAGGACTAAGCAATACAAACCCCGTATTGTTTTGTAATATGACTTATGTATAGAGATAAACGACCAAACACCAATATGGTTCGTGAGCTACCAGAAAATTGTCTGCGAACAGTGGACCTATGTGATTCAAAATTATGGTTGGGAATCTTGGGTGATCCTCGCAAACCCACAAGGGAATTTCAATAGATATTATGAACTTGACTCTGATCCAGTTAAGTTTTATGAAGTCAGCTAGCTAAAGTCAGATACAGGTATCTATGACAGTTGTTGGTACTCCACCGATTACATGAGATGACATTTCTTTCTCTCTTTAGTCAGTTTGATAGCTAAATACACTGTGTCATTCTACTTAAAACAATCATTTTTAGATCAATTCTATTTTGAGTATAATCAGGTGCAATATTTGGGGAGCATGTTATCAATCCCATCATATTTCGCCTAATCAAGTATCGTCATATAAGTATTAGGCTTCAAATATCTTGAGAACAACATCCAGAAGTGTAGGAGTTTTATAAAGGACTTGATGAATAAACATCATTTTAACTGCGTAGAGTGATAAATATATATGAATACTTTTCATGCTAGGCAGATTATATTTGACTTCATTATTCGGTAAAAGAAATCTAAGAATCAAGACTATTGTAATTCAGATTCATGTAATGTTAACTCAGTGCAAGATGATTCAGTCATAAAGTATATAGATATTAATGACTGTTCATTTATAGCTCAATATTCTATTTTGTATTATCCTGTTTTAAACCTTTTCATGTTGTAGATTCTCATTATTGGTCGTTCTACCAAACACAAATGATGGATTACCTGAATTACTAAATGCGTTACAGAGAGATGATGGAATTTCATCAATTCTTTCTTCTAAATTTACGGAGACCAGTATACATTTGTACTTACCAAGGTTCAAACTGAAAGAAGGCAGTGCTATTAGCCTTGTAGAATATCTACAGAAAATGGGAATGAAGGATGCTTTTTGTCCAGGATCAGCTAACTTTACAAACATGTCTGAGTCAAGTAATTTATGCATACGAGATATACTTCATAAGGCTATTCTTGAAGTGAGTCGTATAAATTTTGTGTTTCTTAACAAAATTCGTTGTTAGATTGCTTTTACCTGTTAAGATTGTGAAATAAACTTGAAGCCCTCGTCGGTCGTAGTCAGTATGGGTGAGATTTGATTTCTGCCTACTTGTTTATACAGGAATTTATACTTGCGAGTAATGCGTCCTGCTATTTATTCGAAGCCACACCTTTCAACATATAGAGCTGATTGCTAGTTTGATGCATAGAACTCTATCGAAATATTGAGTCAACTTAACACCAGTAACGTGTATCACACGGATGGACTTCGATAAGATAATGTTTCGTGATTTCTCACTTGACCTCTTTGTCATGAAATAATTTTGAATATAATAAACTCTGGGTAGTCATGAGTGACATTGATATTTCAAAATAATGTTGCTCATGGAGAAACGATCTGTTTAGTTTGTCAAGAAATCACGACCAGCCGCAGCAATAACTTTGACGTTCTCTATTCGTCTCTTGGAGTCAGTGATGGTAATCCACGAAGAGTCACAGAATGTGGTAATCTTTGAAAAGTATATTCAGACAGCTCTGTGAAATAGTTGTGTTGGTCAGAATGTTTGAGAATCATCCGTTGTTATAGATTTGTGTAAGGATGTTAAAATTACATCCATCAGCCGATTTTCCACAGGCTTTCGTCAGCCTATTATGGTGTTGACTTTCGATTTCCAATCATGTCGCACATATTTCTACTTCCCAGAAATCAAGCACGATGAACTATGATGTCGAGCCACATTGATTCATAGAGTTTGGTGAATGTTGCGGACAAGGTAACTAAACATTACTTAATCTGCTTTGAAAAATCCCTCATAAACTATTCACATCAATGAATGCTTCAGACAGAATGATAATGAGTAAATCTGGGATTCTCTGTAACGTGAAATATTGTAATTATTTTTAATGTTTCTTCCACCTAAAAGTTATCAATGTCAGTTTTATTGATTTTTGTCAATAGGTGGATGAACAGGGTGTAATAGCGGCTGCAGCCACTTCTGTAGAAGTTGTTCAACTTTCTGCGCCTTTACCTGAATTCGCTGATGAAGAATTTCGTGTTGATCATCCATTCTTCATTTCAATTTTATGGAAAAATTCTTTACCAATATTTCTTGGACATGTTACAAGTCCTATGGATCAATATTAGTTATGATTTATTCATTAACTTAACATATAAATTTTTTTTCTTAAAAAACAATGTTTACATACTTTCTTAACTTTATCATATCCTATATTCGGGATCTTTGTACGTTTAATATTGAACAGTTCTAATGTGAAGTTACTTATTATTTCATGGATGTGATATTCTTTGATCAATGAACCTTTTGAATGTTATCTGTGTTTCTAGTAATTTGAATATTATTTTCACTTCAAATATAACTATCCATTTGTTATTCAATTTTCAACACTCGTGAAACATTCAAATTTTATGTCTAAACTGATCTAAGTACAGTTGGATTCAAACTTGTGACTTTGTAATTGTGACTGGAACACCTTAAACACTGAGATACTAATTCATGGATTAAGGACTAGACTGTATGTGAATAAGTTTTATTTTGGCAATTAAGTGTTGTGAATATTTAGGTTTCTATACTGAAACAAATTCGGGAAGAATACCACCATAATAATATCTGTCACTATGATTTTCAGCATAGTTTCTATGGTAATATGAGTTCCATTTTAGATACTTGTTACTGAAGATTGTTGATAGAAAATGAACCTAAACTTCTTGAACTTCCAATCTGACTTCATCTATTTTGTATTTTTTCAAAAGTCGGATAGATTCCGTTCAAAATGGATATTAGGACTGAGTTATTTCTTCTTGATGTATTTTGATGTGATTCATCGGATGTTTAACGACGACTAATGTTTTATAATCAGAAGGGATTGTGTGGAGATTTTAGAAATTTCACTGGTCGAAATCATGAATCCATTGAAGCTAGACCACCATGGAAAACCTGGAAGCACTGGACGGCCGTTTCGTCCTAGTATGGGCCGTCCAGTGCTTCCAGGTTTTCCATGCTGGTCTAGCTTCAATGGATTCATGATTTCAACCAGTAATGTTTTATAGTAGACGAATTCACAAAGCGATTGAAAATGATTACTTGAAATCAGAATACACGGGAAAATGTAGTTTATAATTGAAGCAGTCAGTGAACTGGTAATCAGCGCATAAGGTAGGACAGAGGTCGATTCACAAAGGTTCTCATACTGCATTTGTTTTCGAAGTATTACTCGAGTTTGCTGGAACTAACGAGTGGACAATTTTTATGTTTGGCATGTGGTACTTTACAAACGTGGCAAATTGGTTGATAGGGTCAGTTTTCTTCACAAGGTGTAGTAGTCAGAACATATATCACGTGTACCTAATCACACGTACCTCAACAGGTGATTTCTTTTGGTGTAGGAGTATGCTGAAATAAAGTTCTAGCCAGCTGAGTCAACACATAGCATCAATTCATGAATAAATTGACTATCATTCTGAGCCATACTGTTAAATTCAAACTACGTGGTTTGGGTTGAAATGGTAATCGTCGTCAGTGTCTAGAGACCTTGGGTAATATAGCACAGGGTCGTTTACTGAGACCAAGATGTATCCATCTACTATGTTTTTGACGACCTTTGAATATTAATCACCTGCTTACACTAAACAGCAATGTGATTCATCCGGTTCACAATCAAACATTTATGAGTGAATAGTTGCTGATTGAAAATATATAGCAGTTAGTATTTTACTGATATGACAAAACGCATCATTCTGTCGTTTTATTATGTATTATACACGGAAGAGAATTATTCAAGTAGGATTGTGAATAAATTCAAAACTAATTAAACATTGCCCATTTGAAAAATGATACAATTCGATTGTATGTCAATTCAGTAGTACAGAAGAATGACTGTTGTATAAACGGTGTTTTTATGTCAATGCTTTAACTTAGTCATTACAATTAGTTTATGAAATGAAATGACTGAATGAATTAATGAATAATTTAAGGGTAAGTAGGAAGTATGAACAATACAAATGTCAAAACAGTTCTACTGTACTGAGTCAAAACCTAGAGAACTACGAAAGCCATCATCCAGAACATACAAGTGTTTATTAACAGTTGTCTACATAAAATACTTCAGATTCATTGATCGGACATTATTAGCAACAAACTACTGTGGGAGAGAACAAATCAGATCCCAGTAGAGGAAGAAACCAGGTAGAAGCACTGGAAGTGGATAGGACACATATTGAGGAAAGCACCTAACTGTGACGCAAGACAAGCCCTCACACGGCATCCTCAAGGTCGAAGAAGGAGAGGAAGACCAAAGAACACATTACGTCGAGAAATGGAGATAGACATGAGAAAAATGAAGAAGAAATGGATAGAACTAGAAAAGGAGGCGGAGGACAGAGTGAGTTGGAGAGTGCTGGTTGGCGGCTCATGCTTCTCCATTGGAAGTAACAGGCGTAAGTAAGGGTAGTATAAATAACCGAATAATGTCTAAATGCTTAATGCACTGTCATAGTTGCAGGGCAATGATTGAATACAACTAATATGATATGACACTTGTAAATTTAAATGAGGTATGTAAAGTTGTTTATTTGTATTGCACTTGTCATTAATACTCAGGCAATATTGACATATTTCTTAACAAGTAAAAGTATTAGACACTTAATAAACAGTGAATATACAATAGTTATTTGTAATGTATTCAAATAACCAACGCCTATGATGGTATTTGAAGAATGATTTTGCTTGGAGGTAGTATGGTGTGTGCTACTTATGTAGACATAAGTAGTATATGACGTGTGTGGTGAACAGAATGTCTGGCAGCAGAGAGACGAGAAGATCGAACAGTAAAGAATGAAGACAGAATGAAATTTGTATGAAAATGCAAGAACAAAGGAATTCTGAGTCATTTGAGACAGTCAAATACATTCGATTATCCCCATTGGTGTTCTTGTTCACTACAGTAGCAGATGCGGTGTGAAGTGATTAAGTGTCTTGTTTGGTAATGGCTGGTCATTAGTTTAGAAATCACACTGAACTGAGTTTGTTTTTAGATGTAATTGTAACTCTTAATCCTTGTGCAAGATTCTTTAGCCAATTCTTCCTCTTCTAATTTGTCTGTATGCCTCATAAAACAACTGTTACAGTAACAAATTTACTCAGTATCCATATAGTATGATGTTTACTGTGATCATTCAATATTCATCGTTTAGTCCAACCACTGTACACTGTAAACTGTTGAAACCCTATTGTACAGATAGTTTGAAATAGAATTGATGAGATGTATGAATGAGGTATAACATCCTATTCAGAAACGGAATGTGATTTAACATTGAATTGATGAAATTTCGAGAATTCAAAAACTTTGTGTTGTTATAGTCTTCATACAAAATTTAAAAGTGACAAGGTGCGAATAAGACTGCAGTTGTCGATAAAATTCTCAATTGAGATCATGAATCGATTGATGTTAGATCATTGTTGTAAATTTGGAAGCTTCGTCTTATTGAGGCAACCTTCGGCAGTACATATTCATGACGCCGCACATTGGACTCCAACCAAGGACCTCCGGTCTAGCGCACGAACGATTAACGCCTAAAATCAGCGTCGTCAAATAACAGGGTTAATGTCTAACCTCAACCAATTGACGAAACAGACATCCAGTGCTTTCCAAAGACATAACCGACCCTACCTGTTGTCTGAACTGCATAAGTGTGCGAACGTTGAAGGCAGCCAGTTTGAATGGTGCATGTGGTTTCACAAAAACTGCTTCAATATTCTTATTCGGTGGTAGCATACAATTTTCAACCAGGCGATGACTCGAGAACGTTTATATAGAACCGAATTTTCACCATAGGCGAGCTGCTGTATAAGTCGAAAAATAAATATACACAGAATGGAAATAAAAGAGGGTGAATAAATGACGCAGTAAATAATAATAATAATGTGAGTTGTTTGACTGTAAATCGAAGCGAGAATAGAATTTTCAGCAAATATCGTCATTTTCATCGTATTTGTGTGTGAGCTACGATACTGTCCGGGTGCCCAAACCGAAGCAGGTGGCTTTATTAGGGAGCCACACCCCGAGCCTTTGACCTGAAGGTCTAACCGACAAGGCAATGAAGCATCGCGAGGAGATGCGGTCCCATGGCAGCCGGTGACCAAGGAATTGGTTCATACGCCATTTGTTCCTTCAGGACACTGGAGCTAGCCCATGTGCACCATTGGTTTGGGATCCGGTTAAAGCGCCGGACATTCGTATTTAGTGCTTTCATTTTCGTAAACAGCAGTTATGCCACGTGAAGGCAGTGAGTAGGTCTTCCCTGGCAGAGGCTGTATACGCGTGGCCATGTGAGAGTATTTCGAGAGGGAGGTCGAGCGCACCCCGCTCTCGGCTATACCAGGGCATTTGGGGGCTGACAACATTAAGGAATTTCATTTACCGACTAATTTACGTTTTAAAGATTTGTGTATATAATATTGAAACATATACTTACGTGTGAAGACAAGTGATACTAAATAGTTGTGCAAGCACAAGTAGACTTAATGGAGTTGGAACATGCAACTTTGTAATCGAGATTGGAACACCTCAAGCCACTGAGACACTGATCCATGTATCAAGGATTAGACTGCATCATCTATCATCAGTTCAATTATTTAATTGATGAAATATCGAAAATTGTGTGTTAATTATAGTGACAGGGTGAGACGGTGAGAATCAGGCTATAGTTATCGGCAAAGTTTTCATTTGAGATCATGAATCGACTGATGTTAGACCATTAATAAAAACTTAGAAACACTGGACGGCCGTTTCATCCTATTACGAGACCTCTTAGCTGTGTGCACACGTGATCTCTCTCGCGAACGCTTAACGTCTAAAACCAGTGAGTCGTCACTTAACAGTGTTAATGTCTAACCTCTACCAATTGACAAAACAGACATCCAGTGCTTCCAGGTTTTCAATGATGATCTAACATCAA